ACATCAACTCTAGTTTTCACCTGCTAAGGCCTAACATAACTGACATACCATTATTAAAGGTAAGGAACTTTCTTAGAATTATCTTACCCTGTCTTGGCAAGATAAGACAATCCTGTTTCATCCACTTATGGATATTCTGTATCTTTGTCAGTAGTTGAGGTATGGGCTTTTCTTAACCCAAAGGCCAGTTCTGCCAAGAGGGGAATTCCCACATCACTCTACCTCCTTTACTCCCACAAGCTGCAAACACAGAATTGCCCCGCAGCCCTGTTTAGAGGTGTAAGAGAGGGGAATGCTCCCAGTGCTCAGACTGGTGAGTGAATGACAGACCATCTTAAGTCACTCAGCACTGTGGCTTGATTAATGTTCCAGCTGCAACTGGATCAAGCATTTAAAATAGCAAATAAAATGATACTTTGGAAACATTTACCCTTTGAAGAAGTTACACATGTATACAATGTATTTAGATCCTAGTCACCACCACCACCTCCTTCCAGCTTCCCCTGGGACCCTCCAACTTCATTTTCACTTTTCAAAAAATTACCAACTCACTGAATCCAGTTAGCACTGTCCACAGGCACACGGATGTGGGGACGTCCACAAGAACAGGGGGCAGGGAATGAACTACCAACCAAACCACACCCTGCCTCCCCCACACACAAAAAGCTAGCCTTTGTTTGATTCTTTTGTTTGTTGGTTGGTTTGAGGCTTTTATAAGGTAGACCAGGCTGGCCGCTTACTCAGAGAATCAACTACCTCTGCCAACCAAGTGCTGGGGTTGAAGGCTTGGGCTGCCAGGTCAAGCTGAGTATCTTTTTTTTTTCCAATTTTTTTTTCATTTTTTTTTTAAAAATTGATTTACTTAATTACTTGTTTGTTTATTGTTTTCAAAAAACCACTCCTCTCATTTTACATATCAATCCCAGTTCCCAATCCCTCCCCTCCTCACGCTTCTCTACCTTTTAATGGAGGAAATTGCAAGTTTCAGAAGGGGACCCTCTTACTGAATCTCTAACCAGCAACTGATGATTCTGGTCTCCTCTGCTGCTGATTGGCTCCTCGCCCTAAATTTATCCAGTCTAGCACCAGACCAGTGACTGCCCTGGCAATGGTAAAGAGAGGTGACAATTTCTTCTGTGTGAGCTTGTGTGCTCCTCCTGTTTCGGTCTCTCCTCTCCTCCAGCATGGTGTGTCTGTGGCTCCCCAGAGGCCCCTGGGTGGCAGCTGTGGTCCTCACACTGATGGTGCTGAGCCCTCCCGTGGCTTTGGTCAGGGACCCCCGACGTAAGTGCTCACCTCAGGTGCTGAGCTGCTGGGGGCGGGGGAGGAAGGGGCCGACTTCTCACTGTCCAGGTCAAGCCCCTTGAATCTATTGATATTTTCTGTGACCGCCCACATTCCTCACATGAAATCCAAACTGTTTCCCCAAAGAGGAGTGTGGATGCCTGTGCTCTCAGATCTGTGTGAGAGGCCCCACGTATCAGCCATTGCTTTCCAGTTTCTTCCTGGAGCATCTCCAGCCTGTGTCATAGTTCTCAGGGCCTGGAGAGGATTGATAAACCATGGGATTAAATTAATCCTTTGAACAGGGCTTGTCTTCAATGTGTTGGGCTATGACAAAGAGGTTTCTCTTTTAAAATGGACCTTCATATAGTGTATATATATTCTATGTTGTATGTATGTTTCTGTTTATTTTTTTAAGTTAAAAAATGGTCAAATATTGAAGTAATCAAAGGTTTCTCTGGAAATGTCACAGAGTCAGGGGAACAGGGCGGGCAACCGGGGGATAATCTGTGTGCATCCTTTCCAGGCCATGAGGCCTCTGCCTGGGCACCTGGGAGACTGAACCCTGACTCCAGTGTCTGTGAATCCTGTTCCTGCAAGGGGACCCTGCTGGCTGGTGGGTTAGTTCCCTTTCTCCTTGGGAGCATAGGGCAGCTAATGCAGCCTTAAAGAGCATGGGCTGTGTGAGCTGTGTCAAAGTCTGTGAGGCCTCTTCTGAGACCCCGGGGCAGATTAGAGCCCATTTGATGTTTGTGGTTTGAATCTATCTCTATTTCATTTTCTCCTACATTCTCCATCCTGAGCCCATGGAAAGGACCTGACTCCTCTTTGCATCTTGTGATCCACTTCTAGTTTCATGACTCATGTCTACACCACACACTGGAAAATCAAAGTCTGGGGTCTGTGTATGGGATAAAAGATGGGTTTATTAACACTGCTAAGCTGTGACCCCAAATGCTGGGACTGTGGCCGAGCTGTCTGAGCCTCTGTGCTTTAACTGATGTAACGTGGGGAAGGGAGGGTGGTGTCCATAGAGATGTTTAGGTCTTGGCAGGGAAGGCCGTGTAGAGCACTGGGGACTGCTGCTCACCGTGTGTTTCCTCTCTGTGAGTGCTGTCATCTCACACATCAGATGACACAGAAGATTCCAGACTGCCTCTCCCCGCATTGTCACATTTCAGAGACCAGGTTTCCTGCCCTTGCCCCTTCATCCTTCACACCAGCTGTTCTTTTTTTTCTTTCTAAGATGTATTTATTTAATGTAGGAGTGTTCTATCTGCATGTATAACTTTATACCAGCAGAGGGCATCAGATCCCACTATAGGTGATTGTGAGCCACGATGTATGCTGGGCTTGGACTCAGGACCTCTGCAAGAGCAGCCAGTGCTCTTAACTGCTAAACCATCTCTCCAGCCCCCTCACACTAACATTTAGTATGGCTTCCGAATTTGTTGTTTTTCCTCCATTTAGTCTTTTAATATAAATCAAACCCAGTCTCCTCTGACTATCCTCAGCGATGTCTCAGAACACAGATCAGTAATTCCATCTCTGACTCTCAGCCGTCTCTCATAGCCATGAGTAGTGATGACCGCGGCAAATATTCCCCACTAAATGCTCCAAACTTCTTTATCTTTCTGATCATTCGGGTAGATGATAATGTCTGGTGCTCGCGTGTATTTGAGTTACTGTTAACAAATCTCTTGTACATCGTCTGAGTTAGATTAAATATTAAGATGAAAAACTATACATCTGATTTCTTGCCCCATCCCTATTGAAACTACTGATGCTCACGTGACCGACTGACACCCTCACCTGTCCCTGGGCTCACACTTGGCATCTGATTTTAAAAGATCTGGCTTGTGAATTCTTTGGATATGTAATTTAGATAATGGATTGTGGGTCAGTGTTGGGATCATGGTTTTTATTTCCAGAAACTTCTCCAGTAGTTTCCAGAAGTTTCTGTCAACCCCAAGGCTTCCAAGTTGGGCTGCTCTTGACCCCACTCTCATCTCCCCCCGCTGCCTTCACGCCCCGTGTACTGTTGCTCATGAACTCAGGTTGGCAGGAGGTGTTGTCTCAGCTGAGATGCGCCCCCTCCCCTGACACTGACAGTCCCCACCCTCTTCTTCTGCTCCATCTGTGACACATCTTCCCTGTCACTCCCCAGAGTCTCCCTGTTACTGGAACTCCACCCCCTCTCCTATTTGTTCCTCACTCTCACAATTTAAGCTCCAAAGAGGAGGGGGCAGCGTCTGTTTTCCCTCTGTGGATCCCCTGGGTCAGTACAGGTCAGCACTGAGGGAGATTTCCTGTTCTTTCTGCTGTGTTTATGGGAGAATCAAGAGAACAAGGAATAAAAGGAGTGGTGTCTTCTGAGTGGTGAGTGCTGGCTTCCTGCTTAGCTCCATGTGGGGCAGCTGTGGGATCAGAGAAGGGCACACCGGCTGGCCCAAATACATCTATTGGGTGCTGATATTTGGGGAGGTGACCTGATTCAGACACCAACTCCAGTCCTTCCTACATGGTCTGTGACAGGATTGTTCTGTTCTCAAGTTTATTCCCAAATGGGACATTTTTTTGGAGTCCTGGGACCACCAGCAGCATCCAGCCCTAACTGAGCAGGGGACAATTGCCTTGACCAAGTGTGTGTGACAGGGAAGCCCAGAGGCTGGAGCCCTAGGCAGGAACTATGGACAACAGTGGAGTGCTGGGGTGTGAGAAATAGTCTTCCCCAGGGAGGAGCACACCAACTGCTTATCCAGTCCCAGATGGTCAGCCCTGAAAACATACATTCAAGTAACATTATGCAGATGAGAAGGGTGTGTTCATGTATTTAGGAAAGTATAAGTATATGCATATATGTATGTAACCATTAATAACAAAAGAGGCCATGAATTTGAAAGAGAGCAAGGAGGGATATATAGGAAGGCTGGGGGTGTTGTTAATGATACAATTATATCACAATCACAAAAACTAAAAGTCTCACTGGCTGTATAAACCACACTTAAGAGCAGGCTCTGTATTCTTGGACTCTCTCTCTCTCTCTCTCTCTCTCTCTCTCTCTCCTCTCTATCTTACCATACAGGTGTTTGCTCATATATTATGGTTTAAGGTTTTCTGGCTTTTGTTTTATTCCTGTGAGTGTGAATGTGTGTGAGTGTGAATGTGTGTGTTGTTTTACACTAATTTTCCCTTTCATCTTAGTTGCCTGATTTTTCTAGTGGGAGAAAGAAAAAAAAGATTACGGATTTGGGTGGGTGGAGAGGTGGGGAAGATCTGTGGGAGCTGAGGGAGAGAGGGAAGGAAAACTGTGATCAGAAAATACTGTGTTAAAAAAGTCTATTTTTAATAATAAAAAAAATACCATGGGAGATAAAACATCCAGTCAACCTCTGCTTCCTCTCACGATCTGGAGGTCATAGATGAGGGCTAAAAAGAAGTGTGGGCACCTGCTCTCCTGCTAAGTCTGGATGTGGTAAACTCAGTCTGCACTGTTTGGTTGATATTCATGGGATCCTGCTCTTTTCTGAAGAGAAACTGGAGGAGTTGATAAGGAGGGCAGGGGAGGGACTGAGAGGAGAGGAGGGAGGGGAAACTGATGTAGGATGTAAAGGAAGAAAAAAAGGAAGGAAGGAAGGAAGGAAGGGGGAAGGAGAGAGGGAGGAGGGAGGAAGGGAAGGAGGGAGAGGGGGAGAGCAAGCAGGAGGCTATAAAGAGAGGATTGTGCTGCTTCTTCTATGAATGGGAGAATTTTCCCCAGGGTTTCTCCATCTCTCTTTGTTTACACCCTTGTCAACTACTTGAGCAGGGCTGTGTGTCCTTCTGCCTGTGGGTTGTGGTGACATCAGAGGTGGGCCGGGGCAAGCCTGGGTCTGAAATGAAGATCATTCCTGTCTCCACAGCTCGGTTCATGGCGCAAGTTAAACACGAGTGTCATTTCTACAATGGGACACAGCGCGTGTGGCTTTTGGACAGATACTTCTACAACCAAGAGGAAAACGTGCGCTTTGACAGTGATGTGGGCAAGTACCTTGCTGTGACCAAGATGGGGGAGCTGGAGGCCGAGAACTGGAACAGCCGGAAGGAGCTCCTGGAGGATGCACGGGCCGGGGTGGACACGTACTGCAGATACAACTACCGGATTTTGGAGAGCTTCACTGAGCAGCGGAGAGGTGAGATGTGAGGGGGAGAGGCTGGAAACGGCGGGGAGGGGGGACTGTGAGGAATCCGTGGGAAGATGCATGAGTGCGTGCGTGCGTGCGTGCGTGCGTGCGTGTGTGTGTGTGTGTGTGTGTGTGTGTGTGTGTGTGTGTGTGTTCAGGAGCCCGGAACAGAACTCGTTTCTCAGCAGGAGCTTCTGCACTGTTAACTCTGTTCTCCTCCCCAGCTATGAGAAGAACGTCAAGACTGCCCAGGACAGTGAAGTGCGGTGAAAACTGTATCAAAGATAATTAATCTAGGCTTAAGTAGGAGGGTTAGGAGGAAGGCGACTATGTGGTGTCTCTTTGACTCCGCCTACTCTTTCTCTTCATCTCTGTTAGGATTTTCTGCCTGCCTTTACTCTGTTAAGCCACTGACCAAGAGAAGCTTCTTTATAAACCTATGGCAATAAAACATTCACAGCATGCAGAGCGTAATCCCACATCACATCCCCTTTTCTGCCTAAATAAAAAGGAGGGATTTAATTTTAACATAGCAAGATTACATACAACAAAACAGTTATCAAGCAAGACTTATAGTTCCAATATTTAGTCCATTTACATTTGGCAAATTAAGGAAAATACTCTATCATCTATCCTATGTTGTGAGTCGAAAGTTTTATATCTAATCTATCTTTTATAATTATAATTATCTTTCTTCAACTCCATCAAAGACTTCCAGGAGCATATGTGTCTCATTGTTATGAAAAGAGCTAAGTGCTTAAAACATTTAAATATCATATTCTGTTAGTCTTTGAAAGGCTTGAAGAATAACTATACATCTGAAATATAATCTCTATATATCTAGAAAACCTAACTAACCTAACTACAAGTTTAAATATTATAGATAATTATCTATTATCCTATATTTCTTAATTATACATTACATATTTAAATGAGCTGCACAAACACAATACATCAAAAGCAGAAATATGCATATAACAAAATTGACCTTAAATTTTATCAGTAAAGCAAGATCCATACCAATGTAAAGTATTCATCTCTATAGCATATCCCCCTTTAAATGTAAAAAATTATAAACAATATTTGGGAATTTGGGCATAGTTATCTTTAGAGGGAGGCTGTTTGTTTGTCCCTGGCATCTCAGACCCAAAATAACCACACAGAAACTTTATTATTTGTAATACTGTATGACCAATAGCTTAATGAAGAAGGACGCCTACACGAAATCCAGCAGGTGTCGTGGTTGCGGAGTCACGGCTAGCAGCGATGCAGCCATTGGCGATAGGAACGGCCCTCAGCGGCTTTAGTGTCCCGCCTTGGTGCTGGTTAAATCCTGAGAAATATGCTTTGCTTGACAAATTAAAAGCAATTAAATCAATTCAATACATGGAACAAGAAGCCCAGAACTCATGGGCAGGGAGCACAAACCAGAAGCTGCACAAGAGATGCTGTGGCCAGGAATGCAGCAGAGGGGGTGAAGGGTGGGGGCATGTATGTGCTTGGGAAATTTCCAAGTCACCACTCGTAGTTAGCACCACGGTGGCGGGGATTTCTACAAAAAACTGCTTAGGTATTAGCAAGCCAGGCGGGCAGGGTTGGGAGACTTTCTGGGCTGTTGACTGGTTAGGTCCTCAGGCCATCCACCTGTTAGGAGTGGAGTCTGAATCCATGTGGGGCGCCAATGAAGAAGGGCCCTTAAAGGAAATCCCACACCAGCTCAGAATTGAGAATAACAGAGGGTCATTTATTTAGGGGTAGACTCACAAGTCCCAATCCTCTGCTGGAATGGGAGACAGCAACCAAAATGCCACAGCCGGAAAAGAGAGGCCAGACCCATGCTTTACCTCAGCATAAACAGGATAAGAGGCCAGGCCCAAGTGGGTGGGTAATTTAAAGGCTACGGGCTGTAGGAATTCTTATAGCAGCTTAAGCATATTTGTAGCTAGCTCTTATATCCTGAACTAACCATGAAGGCTTCTTTTTTTTTTTTTTTACATTTCTAGCCCTTAGTTTCTTTTTTTTTAATTTATTTATTTATTAAAGATTTCTGTCTCTTCCCAGCCACCGCCTCCCATTTCCCTCCCCCTCCCCTAATTAAGTCCCCCCCCCTCAGCCCGAAAAGCAATCAGGGTTCCCTGTCCTGTGGGAAGTCCAAGGAACCCCCCACCTCCATCCAGGTCTAGTAAGTTGAGCATCCAAACTGCCTGGGCTCCCACAAAGCCAGTACGTGCAGTAGGATCAGAAACCCAGTGCCATTGTTCTTGAGTTCTCAGTAGTCCTCATTGTCCGTTATGTTCAGAGAGTCCGGTTTTATCCCAGGCTTTTCCAGACCCAGGCCAGCTGGTCTTGGTGAGTTCCCAGTAGAACATCCCCATTGTCTCAGTGTGTGGGTGCACCCCTCATGGTCCTGAGTTCCTTGCTCGTTCTCTCTCTCCTTCTGCTCCTGATTTGGACCTTGAGAATTCAGTCCTGTGCTCCAATGTGGGTCTCTGTCTCTGTCTCCTTTCATCGCTTGCTGAAGGTTAATATTCAGGAGGATGCCTATATGTTTTTCTTTGGGTTCTCCTTATTTAGCTTCTCTAGGATCACTAATTATAGGCTCAATGTCCTTGGTTTATGGCTAGAAACCAAATATGAGTGAGTACATCCCATGTTCCTCTTTTTGTGTCTGGCTTACCTCACTCAGGATAGTGTTTTCTATTTCCATCCATTTGTATGCAAAATTCAAGAAGTCCTTGTTTCTTACTGCTGAATAATACTCTAATATGTATATATTCCATACTTTCTTCATCCATTCTTCCATTGAAGGGCATCTAGGTTGTTTCCAGGTTCTGGCTATGACAAACAATGCTGCTATGAACATAGTAGAGCATATACTTTTGTTGTATGATAAGGCCTCTCTTGGGTATATTCCCAAGAGTGGTATTGCGGGGTCCAGGGGTAAGTTGATCCCAAATTTCCTGAGAAACCGCCACACTGCTTTCCAAAGTGGTTGCACAAGTTTGCATTCCCACCAGCAATGGATGAGTGTACCCCTTTCTCCACAACCTCTCCAACAAAGGCTATCATTGGTGTTTTTGATTTTCGCCATTCTGACAGGTGTAAGATGGTATCTTAAAGTTGTCTTGATCTGCATTTCCCTGATCGCTAAGGAAGTTGAGCATGACCTTAAGTGTCTTTTGGCCATTTGAAGTTCTTCTGTTGAGAATTCTCTGTTCAGCTCAATGCCCCATTTTATAATTGGGTTGGTTAGCCTTTTACAGTCTAGTTTCTTGAGTTCTTTATATATTTTGGAGATCAGACCTTTGTCAGTTGCGGGTTGGTGAAGATCTTCTCCCAGTTAGTGGGTTGCCTTTGTGTCTTAGCGACAGTGTCCTTTGCTTTACAGAAGCTTCTCAGTCTCAGGAGGTCCCATTTATTCAATGAGGTCCTTAATGTCTGTGCTGCTGGGGTTGTATGTAAGAAGTGGTCTCCTGTGCCCATGTGTTGTAGAGTACTTCCCACTTTCTCTTCTATCAGGTTTAGTGTGTTCAGACTGATATTGAGGTCTTTAATCCATTTGGACTTGAGTTTTGTGCATGGTGATAGATATGGATCTATTTTCATTCTTCTACAGGTTGACATCCAGTTTTGCCAGCACAATTTGTTGAAGATGCTCTCTTTTTTCCATTGTATACTTTTAGCTCTTTTATCAAAAATCAGGTGTTCATAGGTTTGTGGGTTAATGTCAGGGTCTTCTATTCGATTCCATTGGTCGACTTCTCTGTTTTTATGCCAATACCAAGCTGTTTTCAATACTGTAGCTCTGTAGTAGAGTTTGAAGTCAGGGATGGTAATGCCTCCAGACGCTCCTTTGTTGTATAAGATTGTTTTGGCTATCCTGGGTTTTTTGTTTTTCCATATAAAGTTGATTATTGTCTTCTCCAGATCTGTGAAGAATTTTGATGGGATCTTGATGGGGATTGCATTGAATCTATAGATTGCTTTTGGTAGAATTGCCATTTTTACTATGTTGATCCTCCCAATCCAGGAGCAAGGAAGATCTTTCCATTTTCTGGTGTCCTCTTCAATTTCTTTCTTCAAAGACTTAAAGTTCTTGTCAAATAGATCTTTCACATCCTTGGTCAGAGTTACCCCAAGATATTTTATGCTATTTGTGGCTATCGTGAAAGGTGATGCTTCTCTAATTTCCCTCTCTGTTTCCTTATCCTTAGTGTATAGGAAGGCCACTGATTTTTTGGAGTTGATCTTGTATCCTGCCACATTACTAAAGGTGTTTATCAGCTGTAGGAGTTCTTTGGTAGAGTTTTTGGGGTCGCTTATGTATACTATCATATCATCTGCAAATAACGAGAGCTTAACTTCTTCTTTTCCGATACGAATCCCCTTGATCCCTTTATGTTGTCTTATTGCTATTGCTAGAACTTCAAGCACTATATTGAAGAGGTATGGAGAGAGTGGACATCCTTGTCGTGTTCCTGATTTTAGTGGGATGGCTTTGAGTTTTTCTCCATTTAATTTAATGTTAGCTGACGGCTTGCTGTAAATAGCTTTTATTATATTTAGGTATGACCCTTGTATCCCTAATCTCTCCAAGACTTTTATCATAAAGGGGTGTTGAATTTTGTCAAATGCTTTTTCAGCATCTAATGAAATGATCATATGGTTTTTTTCTTTCAGTTGATTTATATGCTGGATTACATTGATAGATTTGCGTATGTTGAACCAGCCCTGCATCTCTGGGATGAAGCCTACTTGATCATAATGGATAATTTTTCTAATGTGTTCTTGGATTCAGTTTGCCAGTATTTTATTGAGAATTTTTGCGTCGATATTCATGAGTGAGATAGGCCTGTAATTTTCTTTCTTGGTTGGGTCTTTGTGTGGTTTTGGTATCAGGGTAACTGTAGCTTCATAAAAGGAATTTGGCAATGACTCTTCTGTTTCTATATTGTGAAATACATTAAGGAGTATAGGTATTAGCTCTTCTTGGAAGTTCTGGTAGAATTCTGCGTTGAAACCATCTGGTCCTGGGCTTTTTTTGGAAGGTAGATTTTTAATAACGGTTTCTAGTTCTTCACGACTAACAGGTCTATTTAGATCGTTCACCTGGTTTTGGTTTAGCTTTGGTATGTGGCACTTATCTAAAAACATGTCCATTTCTTTTGCATTTTCTAGTTTTGCGGCATACAGGCTTTTGTAGTAAGATCTAATGAGTCTCTGAATTTCCTCTGTGTCTGTGGTTATGTCCCCCTTTTCATTTCTGATCTTATTTATTTGCGTGTTCTCTCTCTGTCGTTTAATTAGTTTGGATAGGGGTTTGTCAATCTTGTTGATTTTCTCCAAGAACCAACTTTTTGTTTCATTGATTCTTTGGACTGTTTTCTGCGTTTCTATTTTGTTGATTTCCGCCCTCAGTTTGATTATTTCCAGTCTTCTGCTCCTCCTGGGCGTGTCTGCTTCTTTTTTTTCTAAAGCTTTTAGGTGTGCTGTTAAGTCTCCGATGTATGCTTTCTCTGTTTTCTTTAAGTGGGCACTTAGTGCTATGAACTTTCCTCTTAGCACTGCTTTCATAGTGTCCCATAGGTTTTAGTATGTTGTTTCTCTATTTTCATTGAATTCCAGGAAGACTTTAATTTCCTTCTTGATTTCTTCCTTAACCCAGGTGTGGTTCAGTAGTTGACTGTTCAGTTTCCATGAGTTTGTCGGCTTTCTGGAGGTAGGATTGTTGTTGAATTCTAACTTTAATCCGTGGTGATCTGATAAGACGCAGGTGGACACTGATATTTTTTTGTATCTATGGAGGTTTCCTTTGTTTCCGAGTATGTGGTCAATTTTCGAGAAGGTTCCATGGGCTGCAGAGAAGAAGGTATATTCTTTCCTATTTGGGTGGAATGTTCTATAGATGTCTGTTAAGTCCATTTGCTTCATTACCTCCAGTAGTTCTCTTACTTCTCTATTAGGTTTCTGTCTGATTGACCTGTCCATTGCTGAGAGAGGTGTATTGAAGTCTCCTACTACTAGTGTGTGTGTGGTTTGATATCTGCCTTGAGTTTTAGTAATATTTCTTTTACATACATGGGTGCTTTTATATCAGGGGCATAAATATTCAGGATTGAGACATCATCCTGACAAATTGTTCCTGTTATGAGTATAAAGTGTCCATCTCGATCTCTTCTGATTGATTTTAGTTTGAAGTCAGTTTTGTTAGAAATTAATATGGCCACACCTGCTTTTTTCTTAGGACCATTTGCTTGAAAGACCTTTTCCCAACCCTTTACTCTGAGTAGATGCCTGTCTTTGTGGTTGAGATGTGTTTCTTGCAAACAGCAGAATGTTGGATCCTGTTTTCGTATCCAATCTCTTAGCCTGTGGCTTTTTATAGGTGAGTTGAGACCATTAATATTAAGTGATATTAATGACCAGTGGTTGTTCATGCCGGATATTCTTGTTGTTTTTGGAAGTAGAATTTGTGTGTCTCCCTTCTTTGACTTGTGCTAGTGAAGGGTCGCTAGATGCCTGAGTTATTGTAGGCAGTGTTGGCAATGTTGGATTCCTTGGGTTGCGGTTTTCCTTCTATTACTTTCTGTAGGGCTGGATTCGTGGCTACGTATTGCTTAAATTTGTTCTTATCCTGGAATGTCTTGGTTTCTCCATTTATAGTGAACGAAAGCTTGGCTGGGTATAGTAGTCTGGGCTTGCATCCATGGTCTCTTAGCTTCTGCAGTACTTCTATCCAGGACCTTCTGGCTTTCATTGTTTCCATAGAGAAATCAGGTGTAAGTCTGATCGGTTTACCTTTATAAGTTACTTGGCCTTTTTCCTTTGCAGCTCTTAGTATTCTTTCTTTAACCTGTATATTTTGTGTTTTGATTATTATATGGCGAGGGGATGTTTTCCTTTGATCCAGTCTGTTCGGTGTTCTGTATGCTTCTTGAATATTCAAAGGAATATCTTTCTTTAAGTTTGGAAAGTTTTCTTCCATAATTTTGTTCAAAATATTTTCTGGGCCTTTGAGCTGTGACTCTTCTCCTTCTTCTATTCCTATTATTCTTATATTTGGTCTTTTTATTGTGTCCCATAATTCCTGAATGTTTTGTGATGAGAATTTGTTGGCTTTGCAGTTTTCTTTGATCAGAGTGTTTATTTTCTCTATGGTGTCCTCAGAATCTGAGATTCTTTCTTCTATTTCTTGTATTCTATTGATTATGCTTGTTTCTGTAGGCTGTGCTCGTTGACCTAGATTTTCCATATCCAGCTGGTCCTCAGTTTGTGTTTTCTTCCTTGCTTCCATTTCAGTTTTCAATTCTTGAACTGTTTCCATTACCTGTTTGATCGTTCTTTCTTGGTTTCCCAGGGTATTATGTACATATTTACTCATTTCTTCAAATTTTTGGTTATACTTCTCATCCATTTCTATAAGGGCATTTTTCACATGTTGTTTAAGGGACTCTACTGCTTTCAAAAAGTCAATTTTTTCCACTTCTTCTGTGTTAGGGTGTTGGAGACCTTCTGTTGTAAGATCATTGGGTTCTGGTGTTTTCATGCTGATTTTCAGATTATTGGGTGAATTCTTTCCTTGACGCCTGCCCATCTCCTCCTATCGATGCTATCTAAGGGGTCTGTTAAAACTGGTTTAGGTTTCCCTGCTGGCCAGGGGCTCCTCTTACAAAATGCCCTTGCTCTGTTTCCTGGTTCCTGCCGGGGGGCCAAGATCCCTCTCACCCCTCAGAAGGGTCTTCAAGAATAGGACCCGGCTCCTCCTCTGCCAGGGACCTCCCTAACCGAATGCCTACCTCTTTGGTTTAATTGTAGTGGGGCGATCTGTTCTCGGTGTTTCACGCAGTCCCTGCAGCCTGCTTCTGCTGCTGGGATGGTTCCCGCCACCAGCAGCCTGTGTCCTCTGCTGCCGCTCTGGTCCCCGCCAGTTCCAGCCTGTCCCAGTTGGTCCCCGCCGGCTGTGCTGGGCGTCCTCCGGCCGCCTTCCGCCGCCCGGCCCGGTGTTCCGGCCGCCTTCCGCCCCCATGAAGGCTTCTTTGAACTACATTTACGGGATAGAGGGAGTTTACAGTGAGCTTCCATGAGGATGTATTGTAATGTATCCTCACGGCTGTTACACTGTGTCGTCTAGACAAAACAGTAAGAGAAAAGGCCTGGCTCCTTCAATTCAGAGAGAATTCACTCCAGCACCACCTTCTGCTGCATGCCCACTGCTCTGCAGGGGTCCGGGTGCAGACTGCAGCACAGTCCCTAAACCCTGCAGCTCACACACTGACGGCCCCTGCTGAGGAGACTGCAGCACAGTCCCTAAACCCTGCAGCTCACACACTGACGGCCCCTGCTGAGGAGACTGCAGCACAGTCCCTAAACCCTGCAGCTCACATACTGACGGCCCCTGCTGAGGAGACAGCTGCACAGTCCCTAAACCCTGCAGCTCACACACTGACGGGCCCTGCTGAGGAGACTGCAGCACTAAACCCTGCAGCTCACACACTGACGGCCCCTGCTGAGGAGACTGCAGCACAGTCCCTAAACCCTGCAGCTCACACACTGACGGCCCCTGCTGAGGAGACTGCAGCACAGTCCCTAAACCCTGCAGCTCACACACTGACGGCCCCTGCTGAGGAGACTGCAGCACAGTCTGTAAACCCTGCAGCTCACACACTGACGGCCCCTGCTGAGGAGACAGCAGCTCCCTGGGTGACACACATAGGGGAACACTGACCTCAGATGTGGTAAAGTTGATTTATTCAGAGTCCTGCAAAGGGAGATGAGAAAGAGTTCTCAGTAAGACTTCCTGCCTCGCACACAGAACTGCTGCCCTCTAGACACCAGAAGAGACAGAACCCAGAGACACAACTTATGTACTTAGCTGATGGAGAAATTGCAACAGCTGGGGGATAAGCTTTTCTTTCCCTACCAGGGAATCCACCTGCAGCTGGGGATTCCTCCACAGAGTGGCGCTGATAGCTAACGTGAGAAAACAGACACTAAGTCCAGACAACTGTGTTAGACTCTGAGTCCTGCCTGCCTGGACCTCAGCCTGGGTGGGTGGAGGCAGACACAGCCAACCTGGGGGGACAGCTCTGCCCTCATGACCTGTTCTCACCTCCCCTTCTCCTCTAGTTGAGCCTGTGGTAACTGTGTATCCCACAAAGACAGAGCCCCAGGAGCACCACAACCTCCTGGTATGCTCTGTGAGAGGCTTCTACCCCAGCCAGATTGAAATCAGATGGTTCCGGAATGGCCAGGAGGAGAAGACTCGGGTCGTGACCACGGGCCTGATCCGGAATGGAGACTGGACCTTCCAGACCCTGGTGATGCTGGAGACGGTTCCTCAGAGTGGAGAGGTTTACACCTGCCAGGTGGAGCATCCCAGCCTGACCAGCCCTGTCACAGTGGAGTGGAGTGAGTGGGAAGCTCCTGACCCTGAGAATCCCCGCCCACCCGGGAGGGGCGTGGCTTACCCCTGCCTGTCAGCTCTAACTGTGCGAACCCGCCACCTATAGGGCGGGTCTTACCCCTACCCATCAGCTCTCTTTTCCCACACACTATTTCCAATGGTTCTGTGCTGTCCCTTCATCATGGCTCACAGGGGTAGGTGTGTGATCTTCTACGAGCACCTTTGCCCCTGGGAAACAGTTATGCCCCCACACACTCTCCTGAGCTTTCAGTGACATCACCGGATCAAGGACCTACTTGGCCCTGGCTGCAGCCTCCGCCTCTGGCTGGGTTGTGTTTCTGTTGCTGCTCATGGAGATGATGGACAAGGAGCAGCGCAGGTTCATGGCTGACCTCAGGGACGTCCAGTCTCAGCACTGCCTTTGTTTAGCTCTGTCAGCCTCAGGACTGTGCAGCCTCAGAGCTCAGAGGCTTCCTGTCAGCTCAGCTCAGGGTGTCATATTAAGTCTCTTCATGCTATGAACCTCTTGTTGTTTGATTGCTTCCAAACATCAGCAGGGTGTTCAAGTACAGCTCCCCTTGAACAGGCTTCTTCCTTGGTCTTAAAGCTCTGACTCTAGGGGCCCCAAGAGGGAAACAGGATTTGGGGTGAAAACCTCTAAACCCGGCTTCCTCCTCAGGGGCTCAGTCCTCATCTGCACAGAAGAAGATGCTGAGTGGAGTCGGGGGCTTCATGCTGGGTCTGCTCTTCCTCGGGCTGGGACTGTTCACCTACTTCAGGAACCAGAAAGGTAAGGAGCCTGGTGGGGGCCAAGACTCATGGCATTTCAGAGAAGAGACATGACTTTGTTCTCAGGGTGTCTCAGGTTTCAGTTATCTCTGAACCCAACAGTCTGTAGATACTAAAGCATGGTGACAAATGGGGATGGGGAATTTAATGGGATTCTGACTTGAGAGGTCAGAACAGAGGAAGAATGGAGGAAGAGCCACTCGGCTGCTGTGTGACTGGGACTTTGAGTCCCTCTGTCTGTCCACACTCCCCTCTGCCCTGGATGCTGTGGGCATTGGTGCCAGAGGAATCTCAGAGACTATGTTCGTGTGGGAGGAGGGGGACAGATCTGCCTGCATGCACTTAATGTCTATTTTATTCTCTTCTCTAGGACAGTCTGGACTCCAGCCAACAGGTAACACCTTTCAATCTTCCCTACAGTGTGGGCTGTGGTGTGAGGGACACCAGGCAGACACACAGGGGAAGATATAGATCCCAGGACACTGAGCCTTGTTTCCCGCACTTACTGAAGGCCTGTGCTCTGAAGCTCAAGAAGTTCTCTCTGCTCACTGTCCTGCAGTCAGGGAGGCCTGAGGGAGGAGAGAAGCCACTGCAAAATTAGGTCTGGAAACTCCACTGTTCCCTGTGCTCTGCAGGACTCCTGAGCTGAAGTGAGCTGACAAGGCTGAAGGAATGAACTCTCCTGTCTCCACGTCATGAAATCATGTCCTGCCTGGCTCAAGTTCCTCCACTGACAGTTTTTTTTCCAGGACCTGGCTCCTTCTGGCTCTGGGCCCTGCAGATCTGTCCTCCCTGATGACACAACCCCTGCCTCGGCCTGCAGCCCTGGGACAGAAGTCTTTCCATTTTGTCCCCTGCCCTTTGTCTGGAGCTTCTGAGCCAGGCTGCTGCCATGATGAATTCTTTCATTTTTCACAAACAAGGATGAAAATCACCTGCTTCATGGATTTTGGAGGAGAAGAAACTCAAAGAGAAAGGAATGATCCACTGTAAAACAGTTCGTGCGTGATACACATGGCAAATTTTGTATAAGAAATAAATTCAGTGTTATACATTACTTGTTAATTAGAATATTTTTTAATTGAATTGAATTTGAAAAGACAACATATACTCAATATAGCAGAAGCCATTTAAGCACATAAGAAGGGAATCCGTGAGAGCTGTAGTGGAGGAGGGAGATGTGGCCGTGACCCTTGTCACAGCCTGGCGAGGACAGAGTCAGGGCGATGCTCTGAGTGGCACCAGCCCCATCCTTCCCTCTGTGGGTGGGATTAGAAAGGCCCTTGCATTGGCTGAGAATCTGGAAGGTTCTGCTGTCGGGTTCCACCTGAGGAGCCAGTCTCCAGATACCTGAGGTTTCTCGCTGGTCTCCACACATAAAAAAATTAACTGTAGCAATTTAATCAGGTTTGAAGAAACTAAGCAGCAAACAAAGTGATGCTTTCACAGGTCAATATGCTGGTCAGTAAGCCCCTGACAAAAATATTTCCTAGAGAAATTTCTAGAGCAAATAAACCTATGAGGAGCAAGGAGATGGCTCCGTGGATGGAAGTGTTTGCCGTGCATCCAAGCGATCTGAGTCAGACTCCTGGAGCCACACCAAGATGAGAGAAACAAATTTTCAAAGGTGTCCTCCTAGACAGACAGACACACATTTTTAAATGGAAATTTTAAAATTGATGTAAAAAGGGGGCAAATGTGTAGTTTAAAGACTGTTTCTACAGAAAGCTAAAACATAGTTACCTATTTTCTTCTCTCTCTCTCTCTGAGTGTGTGTGTGTGTGTGTGTGTGTGTGTCTGTGTGTGTGTGGTAGTTTGAATGAATTTGGCCCCCATAAGCTTATAGGGAGTGGCATTAATATGCGGGGAGGCTTTGTTGGAGGAACTGTGGTCTTGCTGGAGGAGGCTGGGTGACACTTGTTTTTAATCCAGACCCTGAGGCTGGAGGACACACCTGTAACCTGGGCCACACCTTCCGTTGTGTCACGGTGGGGCAGGCTTGGGGGTCTTTTTCTCAAGCATCACTCAGTGTGACAGTCAGCCACTTCCTCTTGCCTGCAAGATGCAGCACCCTCAGCTCCAGCACCGTGTCTGCCTGCACCCCACCATTCTCCCCTTCGTGATCGTAGTGGACTGAACCTCTGAAAGCATAAATGACCCCCTCAGTTAAATGTTTTCTTTGTAAGAGTTGTTGTGGTCACGGTGTCTCTTCACAGCAACAGTAAACCCCAACCAAGACAGTACATTCTCTGTTAGTGGTCATGTGTGAACATGCATGTGGAGCTGGAGACTCACACCTGTGTCTTCCGGAGGAACTTCCTTTTTGAGGCAGTGTCTCTGGCTGAACCTGGAGGACATTGGTTGATCTTCCTGTCTCTGCCTCCCAGGCAATGGGATTCCAGGTCACATGACTCCAGGCCTGGCTCTTTCTGTGGTCTTGGGTGCCCTGAGGTCAGGTCACTGACAGAGCTGTGACTGCTGCTGTATGCGTCCATTTCAATAAACACATTGATATTTATTCTCTGTTGATTACTGTGCAGAACGACTTAGGTCAGCAGCTGAGCCCCGAGTCCTGAGGTCGATGTACAATTAAGAAGAGGTTGAAATGAACCGAAGAATCTATTCCCCGCTCAGTCCTGTCAGTACTGTAAGTCACTGATGAATAAAATTAAAACCAAACTGAAAACACACTATTACAGGAATTTTATCTACGTTGTGGCCCAATGTTTACTGGAGTTAGCAATTGGTTCAAGAGGTGGGGTTCACATTCTGCTGGTCAGTGTGGATCATAGTGTTCCCTGCAGGCTCCATAAAGAATGGGTCCCAGGAAGAAGGTCATGAGGCCTTTTTCAGCACAAAAGTAAAGAGCAGAGCAGCCTTGTGTTTCTTGATCCTTTGTGATTATCTCAGTTTTTAATCTTTAATACTTGTCCATCGATTTTACTTTATACTAAACAAAAATTACTTTATCTGGTGCCCACATGAGGCATTACTAAACCGTACACAGGTGACATAATTCCACCTTGCAGACTGAGCTGGCCACCACTTCAGCGCAGTGGCGAGCAGAGAACATAGACCCCACCCCTTTTCCAATTCCCTCTTAACCTGATTTCCTGTGTTTGGAGATTTCCACGGATGCCCTCCCAGGCACCAATCCCTGGCTCCCCACAGTACATCTGTGCGTCCACTGCTACCCTCCCCGGCCAACTCTGATCAACACGCACAAGTGCCGCGGTGCACAAGTGCCACGGCAGAAGCTAGTGCCTTGTGCATTCGCTCCTAGCTTTCTGAGCCTGGGCTGCCTTGGTGGCAGCCGGCTCCACCTGCTGGCCAGACAGCGTCACTACATCTGATTACCTTTGCAAACCTCATCTTCCAAGCATTGGTGTCAGAGCTGGAAGGACGTTGGGAATTTTTAAATGGTGAATTAGGCTAATTAACAAATTGAATAACTATAAATAAATAATTTTTAAAAAGAGAAAAGAAGGGGGACAATATGAAAATCTTACCCATGTTAAAAATTGGACAAATCACAACGTAGGGGATAAGGACCCTGTTTTCTGCTACTATGAATGGAATGCAAATAGGAAAGATAAATGAAGAGAGAAACAACCTGGCTGGGATTGACAATGCTGGTCATAATTATTATCACCTTGGTAATTCATGTTTTATCCTTAAAAATGGTTTGATAACTGTGCCGAATATGAGAAATTTACTTATAAGATACAAAGTTTAGAGAAACTTACTATTCTTAACATACAAGCTTTAGAAAAGGATTCACTGATAAGATACAAGCTTTACAAATGCTTACTACTGGAAATAGTAAAAATGTGAATGATAAGATATAAGTCTTAGAAACACTAATGGAGATAAAAATTTGACTAATAAAACGCAAGCCTTGGCAAACTTATTAATAAAACTATTCAGACACAGGCAGAGGAATTCAGAGCAGAGCCTACCAAACTATTACATTATGACATTGAAGAGGAAAAGCACAAGGGTGTCAGAAAATGAACTATAGAGGAACAATCACTAAATATCAAGTATCCCCAAGGCAATGGAAGAGCTTACTGGAATCCTGTTGAAATGTTAGATTTGAAGAGATTTAAGGAAGCAACAGTTTCATGGTATGCATTCACCTTTTGTGAGGTCAGGATTAAATTCATTGGCAACTAGTAACAGAATTATTCCACAAGACTAGAAAGACTTGGCTACAGCAATACTGGAAGCTGGTCCTCAGTTAACAATGGAAGACTTGATGAAAAGATGAGGCTAGGGTCATTGAACGATGAAGTAGGGTTGGTTAGAGCTATTTAAATTTCCCAAGACCAATTACTCAGTGAAGGTAAAATGGTGTTTTGCAAGGACAGTCTATATATGATAAACATACTTTGGCAATATGCCATACAGCACCTTTAAATGCCTAGGACTGAATTGAAGAAGGCAGAAAGGGGACTGAGTTATTTACTAAAGTTATAAGATGAGGGATTCCCCTCTGTACGCTGTGAATACCACTAGTTAAAAAAAGAAACTGTCTTGAGCCCATGATAGGGTAGAACTTAGTTAGGCATGGAAAACTAAACTGAATTCCGGGAGAAAAGAGGGGGAGTCAGGGGGAAGCCATGGAACTGCCGGAGGCAGACATCCTAAAAACTTGCTGGTAGGCCACGACCTCGTGGTGATGCACAGATTAATGGAGTTAAGTTAAATTAAGATGTAAGAGTTAGTAAATAAGAAGTTAGAGCTAATGGGCAAGCAGTGATTTAAATAATATAGTTTTTGTTTGATTATTTCAGGAGTCTGGGCAGCTGGGAAATGAGTAAGAGGCCTCATTACAAGTTATACAAGGCCCAAAAGAAGTCTTCGCTGATTTTTTTTTTTACAAAGATTGACTTCAGCTGTGAATAGAATGATAGCAGACCTCAAAGTTAGAAAAATATTATTTGAATCTTTGGCTTTTGAAAATGCTAATTCACAATGCAAAAGGTAATCAGGACTTTAAAGACGCGATCTGCAGCCATGGATGAATGGATCTGACATACGTCAACACGGAATCTCTGGTGATACTTGGATGGGACAGGTGATTTCCAAAAATTTTAAAAAAATGAAAATTTTCGATGTTTTAATTGCAGTAAACAAGTTCATCTAAAACAAAATTGTAGATGCATCATAAAAACATCATAGAAACAATGTTTCTTTTCAAAGACTGTTTCTTCACTATACCTTTACAAGCACAGGATAGAGAAAAACTTGCCTTCATGGTGCCTACTTATAATAATTCTTAGTCCGTTAAAAGATATCAATGGAAAATTATCCCACAAGGATGTTATATAGTCTCCCTTGTGTCAATATTTTGTAAAACAACCATTGGAAACAATTTGTGGACAGTTTCTTTGATCAATAATTTACCATTATGTGGACAATACCTTGCTAGCTGATTCAAACACAGATACCTTAGAAAAAAAATTTGAAGAAGTAAAGAAAATACTGCCTTTGTGGGGATTACAAAATGTTCCTGAGAAAATACCAAGAGGGAGATTCTAGTAATCACCTATGGTATGAAATAGGTTTGCAAAAAATTCAATCACAAATGGTACAAGTCAGGAGAGATCAGTTGTGAACCCTTAAATGATTTTCAAAAATTGCTGGGAGATATTAACCGGCTACATTATGGATAAAAAATGAACATTGGCAAAGAGACTGCAGTAATTTTGGGGAGGTTTTTAACAACAAACATCCCAAAAGCAAGGGACTTCAGCTTATAAAAAGAACCAGTTGGGTCCATCCTCACATTGTGTGGGGACACCAATATCTGGAACTCCTACATTCTATACTGATGCAAACAAATCAGGAAAGGCAGGTGAGGAGGAAGGTGGGAAGGAGCTGGAAGTAATTGAGGGAAGGGGAAGCATAATCAAAATATATTGTATGAAGAAAAATTTTAAAGTTTTAAAAGAGAGCCCTTGGTACAGCTCTGAGCACCAAGTCAGGTGCCCCTAATCTTTAGCAATAAATTTCAGTGATTTTCATTGCA